GAATTTTTAGCTGATAAAAATACGGGACTTTTAGTTGTTAATACTGCAGACTGTTGCTTTTCCCAGAAAATCATCGGCCTCATGGCAAGGCTGTTTGGTGGGCCTCAGAAAAACCAATGAATAGGTCTTTGCTTCAACAACTGGGATTAGCAGTAGGAATTGAAGGTGGTGCAGAGGAAGAAGAGTTGAGTAAGAGAAGAGAACAGGTACCGAATGCTAATGAAAAACATGGGTTACCCAGCAGCTACAGGAAAAATCCCTTTCTGGAGTCCTCCATCCTAGGACAGAAGCATACATTTCATAAGAGCTCACATCATACTATGTACAACTAGTATGTGCTGATATGCACATATTTCAGAAAGTGTTTGGATTTTGATCTTCCTCATTGTGGGACGTTTATGTGGTCACAGGGGGAATAAGCACATTTTGTGAATGTCAATCAAATATGTGATCGCTGTCATTAATGGCTGTGATGGAGCTCTTTGGGGAACATGCATCGTCCACTCTTTAGCAAGTTTGGGTACCTTCCACCCTATAGAATTTTGATATAATAAGGATATTATAGACACACAGGCACAGAGACCTCAATGCAGAAACATAAAACAAAAGCAGGGGACCTCACCAAGTAACAGTCTGTACCTCTGAGTCTGATACACTAGGTTGAACATATAATCTTCCTATTTTGTCACATGACTCCTTGAAATGTATTTTTAGCACTTTCACTAAACATTTGCTTTGAAATCTCAACAATAGAGGACTTACTTGGGGAGATTAGAATGGCCAGAAAAACAGCAAAAGCATGTGAATTTGCTCAGAACTGAAATAGGATCTTAGAGTTTGAAACTTGAAGAGGTAAAAGCAACTCTAACCTTCTATTCTGTCTGAATTCTCTTGCCAACATGCCTAATATTTAGTCACCACACAATAAATTATATTGTTGAATAGAGTGGAGGCTCTGGTCACTCAAGACCTTGTGACCTACCTTCTCCCTTTAGAAAGCAGAAGTCCACTTAAGAGACGCTCAGGCCCATTCTGGAAACATTAATTTGTGACATAAATGGCCATTGAAGATTTCCTTTGATAGCTAACCTCTCAAAAGTGTCAATGTAGTGGATACACTAAGTTACACAAATGTAGACTGAAGCTGCCCAAGGGTATAATTAAATCACCACTACTTTGTTATGAAAATCTCACAAAGGGCTACAAGCAACACAGCCCTCAAACAAAGCAACTTCTTATTCATATATAATTTGGTGCCACTCTAACATATCAAAAATGCAATTATTTTAAAAATAAAGTGTCTACACTGTCCATCCACTTTGATATAAGACATGAAATCCAAATGTTTAACATTAACACAAAAGTAATGTGTATTGTCTTTTCCGTTTCCACGGAAACCTAGACAGCTTTAAAAAAAAACACACTTCATTTTAAAACAATGAAAAGTATGTAATTTTCCTCATTCAGTAAATTATGAATTACACAAGGAGCTTACAGAAAATCTCGACATAGGTAAAAAGGTACAATTTATTTTAAATCGATAACAATCCAAGTATGTTAAGATAAAATACTGTAACAGAAGTTATTTGGCAAAACTTTCTCTTATTTCTTGTGGAGAGAGCAAAGGTCTCCTTTTGACCTATGGACTGTCCCCTATTGCTATCTCTGTGAGCAGTGATTAGTGGATGGAAGAAAAATCAAAGCAAAATTTATTCCTCTACTCCTAAAACTTCATGATTGGCAATTATTTCATCTATATGACATAGATTAAGAGATATGGTATTTCTTTTCAGAAAACTCTACTGTTTCCTGAATAAAACTTGACCTTAAAAAAAGGTGGTAGAAACTTTCCACTCAGAGAGCCAGATGAAGTCTGTCCTTTTTTTCCCCCTTTCTTGTGGAAATTTTCCTGTCCTGAATAACTGTGCTGAACAGGGAATTTCATTTTAACTCAGACTATTTTTTAAGTAAGTTATGCCTATTTTCCCAACAGGCTATCAATTTATTTAAGAGGATGTCTGTTTTCCAAGAGATTATCGTGTTAATAAACATTTAGTAAGTGGACCTCAAAGAATGTAGTTTTGATTGCTACTAACTCATGGACTAAATGTATTAAGTGGGTTTTGTCTGCTTTCTGTAGGAAGAGGAGCCAGGTTAAAGCTCCCCATTCTTAACAAGACACTTCTTTTATTACTGCAAGATCAAATGCAAAGGAAGTATCCACTTAGGCACAGTTCATTTCCATGGGCCTGTGTCTGGTTGGGACACACCTTCAGTTTTGCCAAAATTTTATAATTGTAGGAACAGATCACAGAGAGCTATAGTTATCAAATTATTAAACTTATCCAATGAGGTGTTAATTTTGAGAATCTGAATAGGACTTGGTGAAGCAATTACCTTTTAGCCTAAAATCTAGAGAAACTTGCCAACCTCCTGGAACGAAGCAAAAAGTCCCCTTCATCTTGTATTTGCTCTAAATGTGTCCAAAGCTGTTTGGATGGTCTTCTGCATTATTATTTACTCTCATTACACACAATGTCTGAATGTGATGCCATCCGATGTTTAACAGAAAAGGTATGTGATTAAACCACACGACTCTTACAAATATTTCTAATCTTATAACTCATTGCATATGCAGCTTTCTGGGTGGGGAAAGCAAGATGAGTATAAGTATGTTTGGTGGAGCAGACAGAGTATGAATTTGCTCAGCTGACCCTGGAATAATCATTCCAAGGATAATGAAGAGACAAGTCTAAGATATGGAAGAGTGACTTTTCTTCTCATGAAGTGGACTGGGATTTATGGATCACAGAACTCTTTTATGTTACCTGTACAATGAATTGATAATCCCTATGTAATTTGAAAATTAGTTGAGCAAAGAATCCAGCAGGATAATTTTGCTTTACTCCATTTTTCCTTGCTCATTCACTGGACTTTGCCCCCAAAGAAAAGGGATAATCAGGCTAATTATGTGATACTATCAGCTTACCCCAAGTTTTCTCCTTTAATAAAAGTGGAGTTTTGTCAAATGGCATGCAAATGCAGTTAAGTAGAGCAAGGGGCTGTTTATTACTGAAGTGACACATTCTTTAATCTTGTTCCATAGCAGGAAATGATCTATTTACCATAGATTATTAGAGATCTTGGCTGTGGATCTCTCAGTCTTTATTGCTAGTAATGTCCCAGGTAGTTTGATGGGAAAGCTTCAGTGCTACATTGCTTAGCTTGAACCAAACTGAAGCACTTACTTTATTATACAGGGGACTGTGTCTCAACAATACAAGAAAGTCAAATAATATAGCAGTCATGATAATTACAAAGCACTTTGTGCTATTTTAAGCACCTCTTTTTCCAGAATTGCAAAAAAAAAAACTTTTATGAAAAAGCATGTTAACCTCATTTTGCAGATGAGGAAACTGAGGCACAGAGAGGTTAAGTGACTGGGCCGAGATACCTGGGTCAGCAGGAAGAAGGACAAAAGCGGGACCCCAGCATTCTAGCCTTTCTTGTACATTCTCCAGTTCGTGTTTTGGCGTTGAAAATGCCAGTGCTGAAACCAAAGAATAAGATACTGAAGCCACGTAGGGAAGGGTTTGTGTAGCATTTCATAGAAAGAGCTTCAGGTTCCCTCCACACATTTTTTGTGCACAGGGAGTCTAGCCCAGTCAATAAAACCTTGCCACTTTGAAAAATTGAGTCTGTGTTGTTATCTACAGTAAATTAAGTGTAAAATTAGCGTTTCATGAACATTTATTTGCTCTCAGAGCTGAATACAAGACTCATATTACATAACTTAGGAAAAGTACCAGTCTTCTCATTGTCTCTGGTAGAAAATGACCTCAGTGGTACCATAACGTTAAATGTATATAAAAAAGTAGAGCTATCTTGTCGCTGTCAGCTCTTGGCGAAAAATTTTTTCAGTCTAAATGACAAATGCCTAGAATGTTCTAGGCATATTAGGAGTCTTTTAAAAATAATCATACTTTAGTTTAATATTCACATCTCTGTGGCAAACTCAACTGTTGGTAGTTTATTTATTGCCTCTATCATACAGCATATTTATGTGCAGGCAACTTTAGGCAGCCATTTGAAAATCAGTATTTGGAAACTGAAAGATTCAGAGGTGCTCTGTGGCTCGTGCTCCCTCTAGCAGTTTGTACTTTATACAGAACTAAGTCAGGGAGCTTGTGATTTAACATCAGCTTCTTCATTTGTAGTGTGCATGAGATGGGCTGTTGTTTGTGGAGGGACACAGTGTGCCCATTAAGAGGCCACGGAAGCATCAAATCTGCCTTTTCTTTCCTTCTTGTGTTGCGTTCGCCTGCATCCTTCCTTCGTCCTGTTGCCAGTTCAGCTGGGGTCACTGTGAGCCACTTGTCAGCTGTCATCTGTGAAATGCATTCCACAAGCTCCACCTTTTGCAGAAAAACAAACTGAAGACTGTGTTTCTTCCCCTTCACACTGCAGATGTCTCTGTTCCTGAGTTTAAACAATAATAAAGACAGAAAAGCAAATCCCTGTAGTAAGAAACCAGACTTTTCAAGTGAAACATTTTATTGTAAATAGCTCCTCATAGGTATTCCTCGTGCTTCATTCCCCACCCACCCTTGTTTTCTGTTTTGAATTTTTCAAATGATGTTTATTTCAGGACTAATGTTTCCATGGGGTGTTACATTAAAATGAACCCCCTGCACAGCAGGAGTAGAGTGTTTCTTTGTAACTTTGGTTCCATGCCCAACACACATCTTAGCTTGATCTGCTGAAACTGTTTCCATTGTTGAATTTCTTGCTTCACACAATATATGTTTATAGTTCTTTTCTTCTGATTTGACATATACATGTTTCATTAAATGCAGCATATATTGTAGATTTTCAACAGGGTCATGTAGGAACTGTCAAGTAAGAAACCTTGAATAATGGCTTTAAAATACACGGTCGTAGTCCTGGCTACAGGGTAGTTCTTCGTTTTTGATCTCCCTCTGACTGGTGTAAACATTTTATTTTTTTTTTGCCATCTTTGAAGGTTTAGAAGCGTTTGCCTTTCTGGGGTCTTATCCATGATTTCGGTTACTCTGTAAAACAGAGGGAAAATTTGTTCAATCATCATTTCTAACAGTGGCCAAAATAGAAAAAAAATTAGAGAAAAAAAATTACATTATTTCTACTTCTTTGAGCTGTATGATCTTGTGCCACTTCATGAAGTAGATCCCTAAGCTTAGCTACTTAACATAGAAGAATCTCTTTTGAGAGTTGCTGCAATACAACACATCCAAAGCAATGCATAGTTTTTGTCTCATAGCGAGGGACCTGAGATATTACTACTATCATTACTGCTTTCTCCTCTAGGGCCTGCCAAGAAAGTGTCCTGAGAAGCTCAAATGAATCATCATGCTCCCCAATACTATTAAAATATCATTTTGAGGCCCTCCCTGGTGGTGCAGCGGGTTAAAGCACAGCACTAAGAAGCTAAAGCCAATTCCGCATGAGTTCGATTCCCGCCTGCCCCGGAGGCTACCACATGGCGTGGCAGACCTCTCCTGACCCGCCCGCTGCTCCCCTCAGCAGTGTACTTCATCGATCTGCCTGTTCTGCTCCCCGCTCTGTCTCTGGTGAATTCTCTCACCCTCCGCATCTCTGGCCTGTATCCCAGTTCTGTACAAATAAATAAATAAATCTTTAAAAAAAAATATCATTTTGATAGTGAATATATGTGGGGGTCTCCCTGGTGGTGCAAGGGGTTAAATGTCAGCACTGTGAAGCTATCAGCAGCCACTATGCATTGAATTTGATCCCAAGTCAGGGAGGTGACCCACATGGCACTGCAGACTCTCCAGTCTCACCCGCTGCTCCCCTCAGTAGTGTGTTTCAGTACATCTGCCTGTTCTGTTCCCCACTCTGTCTCTGGTGAATCCTCTCACCCCTCCCCCCACCTTGGCCTGTACCCCAGTTCTGGTATGCACAAATAAATAAATCTTTTTTTTTTTTAAAGTGGATCTGTGGTTCATTTTTTCTTACTTCCTCCCCAACACTTGTAACCCATGACCTGAGGATTTCCGAGGAATTTTTATCATTCAGGTTTCCTGGCTGATCCCAGAGAAGACCCTGAAAAGCTACTTACCTCGCTAAGTAAATCAGGATTCTTGGCCCTATTTCTCTTTTTGCCTGGGTTTTTACTTGTGAAGAGATCTAAGACATACCACTTTCTCTCAACAAAGGCTGGAAAAACACGGGCCACACTTCTACTGCTGCTTAAGCATGTGGCCTACAGAGTGTGAATAATGTGGGTGGAAAAACTGGATTTCTATGTTTTCATTTTATGTCCAAGGAAAAGTTTTATTTAACTTCTTCTTCTTCTTTTTCTTTTTTAAAAGATTTATTTATTTATGCATACAGTACTGGGGTACAGGCCAGAGGTGCAGGGGCGGTGAGAGGATTCACCAGAACAGATTAGGGAGCAGAACAGGTAGATCTTCTGAAATACACTGCTGCGGGGAGCAGCTGGCAGGTCAGGAAAGGTCTGCTGTGCCATGTAGGTCACCTCTGGGGCCAGGGATAGAATTCATACTGAAGCAGCTGCAGCTAGCTTGCAGTGCTGCGCTCTAATCTCTTGTGCCACCAGGGAGGGCCCCTTTTTGTTTCTAAAGATGGATTTATTTATTTATGCATATAAGAACTGGGGTACAGGCCAAAGGCGCAGAGCTGGTGAGAGGTTTCACAAGAGACAGAGTGGGGAGCAGAACAAACAGACTGACAAAGTACACTGTTGAGGGGAACAGCGGGCAGGTCAAGAGAGGTCTGCTATGCCATGTGGTCATCTCCCGGGCCAGGGA